CCCTGGGCTTGGGTTCAGCGGCCTGCTAGGGTCCCCTCACCAGCCCCCCGTTTCCCCCGAGTGCCAGGCTCGTGTGCCAGGCTCCGGCTCTGCCCAGCGGTCAGCCGACCCGACACTGTCCGCCCGGCCCCTGGGCTTTCTGCGCTTTTCTGCTCGGTGGGGACAGTGCGGCTCGTTTTGACGCCACTCTTTCTGGTTTCCCCATCCCCGCTCCTCCGCCGTCTGGGTTGGCTTCGGGGCCGCGGCTGGGAAGGTGGTTCTGCCCTCTTGCCAGATGCAGGTAGGAAAGGGCATCGCCTGCCAGGGGAGAAGCCGATGGCTCAAGGGCGGCAAGGAGGAGCCCGCCGGGGAAGGGAGGGGGCTTGCTGGAGGCTGGCCAGCTGGGGGAGGGCTACTGTGGGCTCGGCGGGGAGCAGAGCAGGCTTACTCGGGCAGCCATATTGGGAGGATGATCTGACAAATCCTGCAGGAGCCAAGTCCCGTTGCTGTAAGTGACAGCCCTGGCAGCTTTCAGGGTGACTGGCCGCTGGGAAGCCAAATGGTGGGGGTTGGGCGGCTGCGCGAGCAAGCTGGTCATTGTTCACGCCCGCCGCGCGGAACATTCCGGGCCCTGGAACCAGAAAGGCGCTTCCAAATCACTTTCCCACCCCCGACTCCCCACGCCCCAACCCCCTTCTCCTCGGTGAAATGCTAACTTAGCCGCCGAGGTAACCGCCTTCAAAATTCCATTCTTCTTGGTGTGAAATGCTGGGTGTCTGTTCATCTTCTGCACCCGGTGCACCCAGAAGGCCTGGTGATGTCTTGTGCGTAGGTAGGTCTGAGGACTGGCAAAGCCAGTGCGCCGGGATGCGGGCCTTGAGTGGGTAGCCTGCATCGACTGGGCAGGCTTTCAGAGTCGCTCAACAGGGCAGAGATGAACTAAAACCAGGGTGTGCCGACAAGCGAGGGAGGCTTGCAGCAACATTTCTGAGGACGCAGTTTGTAATCTTTGTGGAATCTGGAGGTAGCTGAAATTAGATTGTCAACAGATCCCTTGCTCACAGATCTCGGATTGCTCTGGGCAGCTGTTCTGCTGACAGTGAACTTGCTGCTTTGTGCGGAAGCTATGTCTGAGCTCTGTGAGAGGGATGGTGATGGGAATTCGAATCTCTCTGGTATCATGGTAGATGTTTTATTTAAAGGCTGGCAGATTGTCAGCTTAGCTTAGTCATAATAAAATCTCAGCTTGTTTCTCCTCTAAGAAGTGCTTTCTAATTAAGTTGGTATGGTTGTGTATTACGAAGCAAGAAGAATTAGTACTGTTGTAAGTACTAAGTACTAAGTACTGTTGAAGGCTGGAATGTGAAGTGAAGATGGCATTCACATTGCCGTTGCCAGGCAGATCTTGAAATGATCAGGAATTGAGTTCAGCGTGTGCCTATAAAGCTGCCTTTCTTACTGGGCAGGACCAGGAGAGAGGGGACGCCTACTGCCTTCTTTGTCTACCTTCCCTTTCCTTTCGTCCTTCTCTTTCTTAATGAATGTGCTCCTCCAACTTCCTCAATGGGATTTCCGAAAGGGCTTCAAGTAGGGTTTTCTAAGCAAAGTTTTAGCAGATTACATTTTCTAGTAAATTTATCATTGAGCTTTCCTCTTTAAGTCTAGTTTTAAGATAATCAGCTATGCTTTTAACAGAAACTAGTGGTTTTAAATTTTCATTAATGAGAGAAATACAAAATGCCTTTTTAAAAATTCTATGCCCCAATTAATAAATAGTTCTATTATTTTACTTTTAAAGTTACTTTATTAGTGGCAAGATCTGAAGAATTTTTACTCTAATTTCAATATCTGGTAAAATCAGACCCGATTATGCAGCTCCACCTTGATGAGCATTTCGCACAAATTTATCCAATTTTGTATGGCTTCTCAGGCTAAAAACTGACCATTTTTCTCTTTCAGGCCCAGATAGGAAGGTAGTTCACCATTTTGCCCCTCGTTACTCCTTCTCACTTTTGAGTTGTGCAGTAATTAAACGTCCAAGAAGCGCCAACTCACAGTCTCACCAAGACCAAGGCCTTGTCACCCGGTTCCCTGCTATGGTCTTGTCCTGAGTACAAAGGAAAGGGCAGTAAACTCCTGCCTTCTTGCTTGTAAACTGATGCCCAGGCTGCTAATTGTAATCACAGCAGGTCTTTTCCAGGGATAAAGTCTCTCTTTGGTTTTGTCAGCTGATAGTTTTAATTCCACAAAGCTCCCAATTTAAACCTAAGTTGGGGGCAGGGCTTGGTGTGTGTGTGTGTGTGTATGTGTGTAAATTTATTAAAAAAACGCAATTACAATTTCCCACAGGCGTTTGAAGCCCTCTCTCGTATATATCATGCCTACATTGTGTAGTTGTCTTTGAAAGATGACCTTGGCTGACCATGACCTGGTGAACATCTGAACTCCATAACAGCAGGACCCTCTGTCATTGTGTTGATTTGACTCATAGCAGCACAGTGGGATAGGGTAGAACTGCTCCTTTGGGTTTCTGAGACTGGAAGTCTTTATGCAAGCAGAAAGCCGAATGATCTTTTTCCTGTGGAGGATTTGGCTGGTGGATTTGAACTGTTGACTTTGTGATTAGCAGCCCAATGCATAACTCACTGCACCACCAAGGTCTCCAGAGACTCTATAAAAGAATGTGAATAAAGGCACATGCTTTCGGGATTTGTGTGTGTGTGTGTGTGTGTGTGTGTGTGTGTGTGTACATCCTAAGACTAAAAGAGAAATTAAACGAATGTGACTTGTGATAGAAAAACACCTGAAAAAGATGCCTTGGACTTGTGAGTTGAACTTTCTAGTTGAAGGCCAGTGATTCTTTGAGACTTTTACTACAGTCTTTACCAGTTACTAGACAGTGCATCAAGAACTTTGATACTTTGTCCTCAGGAGCTTACAGTTTTAGACTGTAAATACATATGGCAAGATAAGCTGAACCCAGACTCCTTTCCCTCTTGCACAGTTTGTGCACCATGCCATGCCATGCCAGGCTGGTTTCCAGAATCTCTTTTGTTTTTTTATTATGGTTTTTTAGTTTCTGAATTTCAAGTGAGAGCTTTTTCCTCTTGTAATGCCTTCTAATACTTATTATCAAGTGTTCAATGAAAACTTTTATGATCCTTTTTTGGTTGGTTGCTTGAGTGTTGTAAGCCACAAATTGTTATATCTGATATATTTTATAATATTTTTATATTAAATATTACATTGTTTACATCAGAGCATATCAGTCAGCGATATCATTTTCTAATTCCTTTGAAGATTTTAATACTTGGCTTAATTTTCTCTTTTATCTGTGTTTATGACATCAACAGTCATTGACTGTGCAAATCAACAACAACTTATTCATATTCATAACTGTGCACTTTATGTGTGCCAGGCCCATTTCTAAGCGCTTTATATATGTGATATAGAGAAGTTTACGGAACAACCTTGTTATTTCTTTTTTTTTTTCCTTGTTATTTCTTAATCCCATTTTTCCAAGAACATTTTGAAGCCCCGCATGTGTCTTAAGACAGTTCTTGTAACAGTTGTATAAAATATGTATGATTTAATTACAGATAAAAATACTGAGACAGAACTAGAGGAAAATTGCATATTTCATCATTGCTACACTGCACTCTGATTGGCTCATCTCCTCCCCGCAGCCCTTCTACAAGGGATGTCCAATTTCCCCCGGATGGGCCCTGGGTCCCCACTCTGCACTCCCC